CCAGGAACTTGTAATCTCAAAAAAGTTTATTCCTCAAATGCTTCCATCATAAGTCATTCCGTGCTCATATAGATATTTTTCTTTGTTTATTCACTTTAACAGACATATTATGATTTATATTCTTGTGTCTTTAGTGTTTGTAATCCAATCTGGTATTTTGGGTATGACTCGACTTTAATGCGCAGTTAAAGTCCATTGAGGCCACACTGACCTTTTGAAACTTTCAATTTAAAAATGGGCTTTTTCAGAATCGTGATTCCTTTTATGGACATGAAAAGTCAAACTTTTTTCCTGGCCTCGATATCTCCACTTTAAATTGTTGTGGGCAGAAAGGGAATCGTATGGAGTATAAATGGTAAAGTAAAAGCTACAATGTAATGCAAAAATTGTGTCAAAAGCATTTTAAAAATCGCTTACCACCAATTTCTGGCCCTTTTGTAACCTTTTTGCGACATCTTTGCAGTTTATTTCTTTTTTCCATACCTGCACAAAATTAATTATTGATAATTATCTCTTAGGTCAGAATTTTTTGGTTTCTAGGTCAAATCTTTCGATGTCAGGCCAGAGGCGGGCAGTATGAAGTCGAATGTATTGTGATTAAGAATTATCTGTCAAGTCTCAGGAATTTTTTTAATGGTTAAGGGTCATAAGTACTGTATATACCATCCTTTTTTGCCGTATAAACAAGTGCAACACCTACCTACATTTATATACCACTCCCGAGCTCTTGCAGTGTCCTGAAACGACTCAAAGTATTGAAACCCCAATAGTCTTTGAGGATGGTTCTTTTCTTTTTAAACGGGTCCTTAAAACTCAAAAAGGAGGCGCCCGGACACTTGACAGCTATATAGATACTATTTGTTTTAATCAAAATTCTTTAAAAATAGTACTAAAGTTCATATAAAAAGGTGGGACCTCAGTCCCCTGGATTATCCCTAAATTTGCCCATGCCTTTACGGAGTTCGATCAAACGTTATCCAACATGCAGATTCTCTATAACGTTCTTCACACATTTTCCATGGTAGTGATGAACGTTTTGAATTGTCGGACCTTTCCTTTATTCTCATGACTTTTAGGCAAATGACAAAAGTAGGGAAATTTTAGGAGAAATTTGATGCTAGTCACCCTCCACGGGGTTAAAAAGAAGAAGTCTTTAATCAGTTTCATTGATGGGAATAGTTTATAGATCTTTATAACGAGAAATTTTTATCCTCAAAACCATCAAACTATTTTGGTATTTGTTGACAGACCAGTTCCACAGTTGATAGATTGTTTCCTCGGGCCTGTTTACATGGAGTGGGGGACCCCGGTCTAGTGGGGTAGGTTTCTTTTGTTTTGTGTCCCCCAGAGCGTAAAAACAAAATAAACCAACCCCACTAGACCGGGGTCCCCCAGTCCATGTAAACAGGCCCTTCCTTTAAATAAGGACATTTTAAACTTTCTCAATTCAAGAAACTCGACCCGACTTTACCCTGTGGGCACGTCATCGGAAACGAAATACCTTGAAAACATAGAACTCCACGCGTTGTAAAATAGAAATTGCATTTAATTCTCCGAATTCTCTTTGTCGTACTTTGTACCTTCATAGATGTTTATATTAGCCAGGTTCTGGATTTGCGTGACCTGGCCTTTTGTTCGCGTGACCTATAGGCAATTTGTATTGACGTAATTAATCATTCGGGTTGAAGGTGATTTGGAGCATGCACGCAACGAAACTCTATAACTTGATTAGAGCAATCGAATACAGTGTAACTGGCAATGTATCTTTTTTAACACAACCCGATTGATAAACGAGGACTTTCGAGCCCAGAAGGGCGGGTTCATAACCGGGTTACTTACATACTTGTTTACATATTCTACATGGTCATTAACATACCTTTGCTTCCCAAAATTTTCGCAGCAGCCAGCTCAAAAAAACACTCGATTTTTTTTTGTCGACCTGACATTGACTGAAGAGATCTGATCATGAAGATAATTTGTGCGGGTCTTGGAAAAACTGGTACCAAGTCAATCACCAAAGCTTTCCGTCACCTTGGATTCATCGTCTTTGACTGGGAAGAGCAAACATTTGATTTCTTGGACCACTGGGTTGATGTCTTCAAAAGTGGCGCCAAGCCAGATGTGAAGAGAGTCTACAAAAATGCTGATGCAGTCGTTGACTTTCCTGGAACCTTCTTCTGGGACGAAATACTGGAAGCTTTTCCTGAAAGTAAAGTAATTTTAAGCGACCGAGAAGAAGACTCTTGGATAAAAAGTGCGAGACAAGATATGGTAGGCAGGCAATATTGGAGATACAAAACGCTCTGTTTGTAATTCTTTCTGTTATCGTAGCCTTTGTAGTTATATTGTTTTGTTATTTGTATTATTGAATGATTGACTGGATGATCTGCAGTTTTCCCTTTACGAGAGGAATGTGTCGAAAATATACCCCGCTTTGGTATAAAAAATGTAGGACCATGAACAATTTTCTCTTTTATGGCGAAAACAATATTTAAAAAAGGGATTCAGTTTGTACGAGCAAAATGTTAGGAGCCGGATAGTATCTCATGACTTAATGCTATGCGATCCAGTGACGATTATTAATAGCCAGTGTCCAGCTACCATCTCGATCATTATCTGTATTGTAGGGCGTTTACAGGCCTATCCTGGCTAACCAGCAGTATAATACTGTTATTAAAGTGTTGCTTGACGCAATCGGCGTCGAACCTGCTTCCTACTGCTTGCATAGTTTTCGTAGAGGAGACGCGACCTTCGCTTTTTGCCATGACGCTCCAAGCACCTTTATCAAAGCACAAGGCGATTGGAGGAGAGTAGCCTGCGTTGCAGGCGTCAAAATCCCCCCTTACCCTTCTCCTTTTAACGCCTGCCATGCAGGCTAGGAAGAGTGATGCCTATTTAGTTTATGTCGTTGGCTCACTTTGTCTGAAGCGACCAAATTCAAAATCCTCCATGCCGCTCCACTGCCATGACTCCGGCCGCTCTACCCCTCCCCTTTAAACATTTGGGTTTGGAGTTATCAGGTACAACTAGTTTTTTAGCTTCGCAATAAATGATTGTTTACCCCATCTCTGAGAGTGCTTGCTCGTGATAGTAATTTGTAACTTTCGAGCTAATGGTCGGCTCGTATATGAATGAAATAATACGGTGTTTTTTCAACATTAAAAGACCCCTTGCCCTCCAAAACCGGAACAAATTTAGAAAATTATAAAGCCATTTTCAGTTTGAGGCAGATTGAGTCTTATAAATGTAGAAACTTTTTTATATATAAAATGACGAGAGCCAAATCCTGCTGTTTTATCCAAGACAAAATATAGAAAAAAAAAAACCAGCAAAGAGAAAAGAGAAGGACGACTCAGTCCGTCCGAAATATAGGGAAGTCACTTTTCTCTTTGCTTTTTTTTTTCTATTAATGTTAAACGTTTTGTCTCACAAATGTAAGTTAGAGAGTCTCTTGGGGTAGTCTCGATCTTGTGCTCCAAAGCTTACTCGTGTTTATCTCTAAACTGCATAAAATACACTTTGATCGCCCATAACAGACAAACGGTAAGAGGTGGATGGGATGCAGTACCGGATAATCAAAGAATAGCTTTTCCTTCAGTGGATACTGCAGTTTACTTAGCAACCACCCTCAGGATATCGTCAGTAAGAATGGAACGTGAATACACAACGTGGTGAATACACAACGTGGGTAAAAGCGGCCATATTGGTCAGCCGCACAAGAAATTAAATATATGACGAAATCAGAGGAGATGGTTGCAAGAAATGACAACTTCAGATACTTAACTTTCGATACAATTACTACGTGGCGACAAAGCTATTGCACAGATGGAGCAACTTGTGGCTAAGGCAAGAGCTAAGGTTATTGTGGCTGTTTGCCGACTCGCCATTCTAAAAAGGATGCCCGCTACTCCTCTGACTCTGTTGGTGGCACATCGGCTGCGAGAACAAGCTGTGAAAGCGCAAGTCCAGAGAAATGGAAAGATGAAGACCTACGGTGGTTCCCGAACCCAAAGGGCGAATATACTGAATTCTCAAATAGTATTCTGCCAAAATTCTACCTGTCCTTTTGGACCACTTGTCCTTACAAGGAACGCTTTAGCCACTGTTTCGAGACTGAAAGAAAGCGCCAGTGGGAAGTTCGCAAGGCTTTGAAAGCAATAAATCACAGAACCCCGCTCGGAAACATCAAAATATGGGCGAAAGCGGACACGGGTCGAGAGAGACAATTATGTTAGTTGGGAGAAGATAGTTTTTTGACATATAAATTTTTCGACACCCGTAAATAATTTAGATTAATCTTGACAGGCAACTTTGCTTGTATCTACAAAAAAGAAGCGACATGGGGTAATTTTTTCCTTGCCAAAAAAACTGTGATCCTCCCCCGGTTGAGAATAAGACAGGTTTGTCACTCCACAATTTGTTAAAAATGTACTAAGGACCCTCCCCTCCGAAGCCCAGACCCACCCCCCCCAAATAAAAACGTACCTTCTCTTACAACTTGTCTTTTTCGTTCAGAAACAAAGCGGTATACAAAGAAATACTGACGCACACCGTAGTATTTTTTTAAAATATGCATTTCTATTGCACGTACTCAATAGAAACGAAAATATTGTCAATGCTGGGTACTGGGTACTTCAATCTGTCCTAGTCGTAAAAATTAGTTCCCGCAAAACAAAAAAATCGCCAATCCGCAAAAACAAACTCCCGCAAATATTTTGTGCCACACACGATATATATGGTCAGGAGAATCGGCTCCTGATATGCTTTCAACCTCTATTTACCTCACCGTAAAGCCGATATAAAAGGAATTTTAAACCCGTCATATACATCCGGATATGATACAAACAACATTTTATTTTTGAATATTTTTGTCACGCCTGGTGTTCCATGTATTTAAAACTCACATACTACTGATCTTTTCGATGCCAGAAGTGCTTGAATTTTATTCGCTTCCTTTAAAACGTTACCTCAGCAATGAAAGGTTGGCAAAAAAGTCACAGTTAATACGAGAAAAAGACAAAAATTGAACCTACAATAACTACGATAACAGAAAGGATCACAATCACAGCTCTCTGTATTTCCCAAATAATTTGCCGACCAGATCTTGTCTCAGACAAGGGAGCTTCAGCGATTTCGCCCTTAATATTTTCATTTGGGAAGGCAATTGTTGGAACCTCACAGCCCAAGAAATCACACAGCGGTTCCCAACCTTGCTTCACGTTGTACACCAACAGCTTCTCTGGTGGAACAAGTGACTTAACGCGGTGATTGTGCTCTCGGTATCGCGTACGCAAGATAAAACCTGCCTTGGGGTTTGCAGAGCCAACAAGAGCGTTTATAACAGAATATAAAACAAAGAGCTGTTTTCTTGAAGTTGGAGACAGAACACACAAAAACCTGCGAGATATCACTGCCTCGATGACTTGAAGTTGATTGACTACGCTCTTCAACCAAGAATCTTCTTCTCTTTCGCTTAAAATCACTTTACTATCAGGGTAAGCTTCCAGTATTTCTTCCCAGAAAAAATTTCCGGGAGCGTCAACGATCGCGTCAGCATGTTGGTAGACTCTCTTCACATCTAACTGGGCGCCATTTTGGAACACATCGACCCAGTGCTCTTGGAAATCAAATGTTTGCTCTTCCCAGTCAAAAACAGTCAATCCAAGATGACGCAAAGCTTTGGCGATGGATTTGGTACCCGTTTTTCCCACACCTGCACAAATTATCTTCATGGTGATCTTTTAGGTCACTAAGAGATTTTCGTTTAGTATTGAAGCGGCTGCAGTGTGACGTCAGTGTGACGTCGAATGTTGTGTGATTAAGACTTAACAAGGTCATGCGATCATTTTTATCTGTCAGCTGAAGCCCCAGGAATGTTTCAAAAGGCGATTAGGGTTAGGGTTAGGTCTGGGTTAGGGTTAGCCTGTTCCAGGCATTCAGATAGTAGAGTGCGGCGGTAGGTTGGGAGCGTGTTGAGTTGTACACCGAGAAAACGGGGGGGTTGAGGGAACAGAGGCGGTGGAGGGGGGGGAGGGCAAGAGTGAATGGCGGTTATTTCTTTTTGTTGGAGGAAGGAAGCGCTTTAGTGTTTTGATAGGCGGTTTGTGGTTGGGGTTTGGGTTGGGGAGGGGACGAGCTTGATGTGGAGAGGGGAAGGGGAAGGGAGGCGGGAGGTGGGTTGTTGGTTGGGATAGACCAAAAATAGGTGGGGGAGTAGTAGGATAGGGGGGGGTGGGAGGGGGAGGGAGGGCAAGAGCGAGAAAACTACTGTTTGAGACTCAAATGACAGCAATAAAACTGGGATGGGATTCGCACTCTCGCAGGATTTATTTTATTTCCGTATTTTCGTAGCCGCAGCCGAGTTCCGGTTAGGTTTCGGTCGATGTTCATATAGATTTTGTGACGTGTTCGATAAATAACATCGACCGAAACCAGCGTTCCTTGGGAAGACCATAAGCCGCGTCGTTCAATGTAATACAGCTGAGTCTATTACAGATTTAACCTTTTTTTTAGTGATATAAACTGGAAACGACAATATTGACCGTTTTATAACTCAAACTAACTCAAAAGTAACATATTGCGGGCAAGCGTTTCCTCTTCTCCCCTCCCCCTCCCCCTTCCATTTTTTTTTGCTCCCGCTCTAACTTTCGCGCCATAACTCGACTGGAAACGCTTGCTACGCAGGCTATCAAATTTGACGCTTAAATTTGTTTTTTTAGATGTGTAAGTTTCTTTAAGTGAACTGTCTATGGTTTAAGTTTCTCGAGTTACCACTTTAAATTGACGAGGCTGTTATAAAAAAGGAAAGAAGTAAGAGAGAGAGAGAGAGAACGTGCAGGTCATTTTACTTAACAATCAAGTGCGGATTATCGGGTGAGTTTCAAATGTTAACTTTATTTTTTAAAAGCCAAGGGGGCGTTTGTCTAGTTGTTTTGCGTAGGACAAGAATGCATGCAGGAGCGATTAAACAAAACGGTCCTGAAGGGAGAGCCTTGGGACACACATTCTGAGGATAAAGAATCTGTTTTGCAGTCTAATTTGCATTGGTTTAATAGTCGGTTCATTTGATTTCACACTATTTAGGTACTGAAAAGTTCACAGAATTAAATTACAGCTGATTGCCTTAAATGGAAGATTAATTAAGATAAGACAGAGCAAGAGTCATCGGTTCCTGGACAGAGTTATTGGCCGTATTGAATGTGTGTGTGTAGGAATACACCCGAGGAACAACCACATATCACTGAGTTTGCCATTTTAATGAGAACGGACTTGTAACTAGAACGAGATTTCACTTGATTGAATTAGTACAATGTCTCGAATGGCTTCAAGATAAGTGTAACGCACCTTTCTATTACGTTGAACCGGCTATTGTTTCCGAATGAATGATTGAGTAATGAATAAAAGGTGCTTTGAATAATTAAATGAATGAATAAATGAACGAGAGAGTGAGTAAGAAAGTAAGGTGACTGAAACAAATGAGTTGAGCGAATACCATAAATAGAATGGAATAAATTGGAAGAATCGAATGAATTGAATGAAATAAATGGACTGAATTAAATGAATGAAGTGAATGAGGGCGACTTAGGCTCCAAATAAACTACGGAAAATACGGAGCTGTCACAAGGATCGGAGCTAGAGTGCGGTTTATGGTATAATGGTGTTACGGTTCCGCCCAACCATGCGGGTAGTACCTCAAATTTATAGGAAATAAAACAATGGAAGCGTTTTCGGCCAATAAGAAAGGGGCTGATTTCTTGGTCTCAACCAATCAGGAAGAGTTACTACTTATTGAATATTCAAAGTGAAAAGTCAACGCCAGCTTGAAAATGAGCCAAGTGAACATAATTTTTATGTAGTGCTTCTTTTAAAAAACTTCATGGTAAATCCAAGCATTAATTAAAAAAAAATGAATAAACAGCAAGGAAAATTCCGTGGCTTTAATTTCACCGATTAAACAAATCCGCCGTGTTGAGAAACACACTGATTGCCTAAACCATTGGTTTAGACAACGATAGTGCTAATATCTTTAAATCAATAACAAAACAACAAATTTACTCATAGTTTCCTTAGAGTAAAGCTATGAAATAGGCATAGGCTATGAAATAGGCATTATTTTCAAGTTGAATGACAAAACGTAAGATCTTTAAGCGCACTTTTGAACAAAGAAGAAAACGTATTTACACTGTCGTCTGTGTGCAGGATAAAGGCCGATCAAGAACTTTCCAAACGGACCGTTCACTTAATGGTAGAGGCCGAGGTGCGACTCCTTGCCTGGCAGTTAGTAAATTGGTTTTGATACCAAAAACATCAACAAGAGACATCATCGCAAATACCAGGGCTTATTTCCCAGTCAAGCCCAAGTTTTTCTCAGATTCCTTTTCAGAACCCACAAGCTAATCAGTTAGCTGCGAAGATTAAGTGCCCTCTTTCCTGTGTCAGCACTTTATTAATTCAGTTTATCTAGTGTTTTTATAAAATCGTACAATGGCAACAGTTTCATTTATCTGCCTGATCATATAGAACCAAGTAGTTAGTTAATCTGCAGATAACAAAGATAGTGGAATGAAGCTCCGTTCGAGTCTGGTACAAGCCATAAAACACAGCATAAACAGTAAACTTCGAGACTGAAAAGTTCTCCGTTGAAGGTATTTATGCTAATTTTAGCTGTGAAAGAGCCGGCAGAAAAGAAACAATTGAGCTGTGGGAGTTGGTGTTATTCAAAGCAAACAATAAAGGCGCATATATTCGGCCCCTTCCTCACGTATACGCTTTTGTTTGTAAAGGGATGTTTTTTTCTCCGATTTGACCTACCTTCCACTTGTATCCAGTGAAAACATCGGTCACCGATACAGACGCACTCCTCCCCTCAAAAAAGATCGGGGAGAGAGAGTTTCTCTCCCCGTTTTTTTTAGGGGAGGGGGCATCTGTAAACGCATTTTTTCAAAAACACTCTTCACGGGCAGTGGACATTTTTGCAAACGCTGGGCTAGCGTTTTCGTGTTCTTGTGGGCGGACGCAAATGAACGTTTTCGAATAGGATGATCATGGTGATACATTATAAAGTGCATGCCGTGTAGGGCATGCAATCGTATTTCCATCTAGATTTTAACGTTTAATAGCTAGTAATTGAGGACGGTCGAAAACGACTTGCAACTCCACTTTAACAAAGTACCAACAATTTGTCCGGTCCCAGGCGTGAATCATGCCACATCAGTTTCCACTGTTTTACGAAAATCAGTCAGCGTTTTCATAGATAAATAAATTTTTCATGAAAAAAAATTTCCAAGCTAAAATCTGGCCAATATCCTGACTGAATGACTAAGAAACCCAGGAAAGGTGACTTAAGGTGATTCACTAGTTTTGCACTGCGCATCTCTTACTGCGCATAACAAGATGGCCGCCGTAAAAGAGAGCATGTGAAGTAACATTATTAAAATGAAGTTGACTGAAGAGAAACGATATTGGAATTTTTGCTTGCGGCTGTTTCTTGCTGAGGTGAGACTCAGTGTGTTGGGAATGTGCATAAAGTAAGCAGTACGCGTGTTGCTGAGTTCGACTTCCTCACGGAGATCCTCGATAGTGAATGTTCAACTTGTGCTTAGTCACCTTGATTTTCATTTAAACGCTTTCTTTATCACATTGTGTCCTAAATGTGATATCTCGATGTAAATTCTGTAAAAACGGATTTTTTAATGCTTTCTTCCCCCTTTCACATACATTCTATTTTGAAACTCGCCCCAGTCCTCTCCCAAAAATCGGAGAAAATGCATTTGGTGCGCACGTTCTGCAGCTCTACCGCAAAAACGAGTACGGTGACCCCCATTTTTTATTTCATGATTTTAATAGAGACAGTGCTTCCTTTCGATGAGAAAAAAATTGGCACGAATCTATGTTTAGTTTTTTGGCAATTTTACTAAATTGTACGGATTGAGCTATCACGGGTCGAATAGCGCGTGTCCAATTCAATTCTACTTTGGAGCGTTAAGTAAAAATAGAAGCATTAAAAGACATTTTTATGGTATGTAAGTGGATAAACAATACAATAAAGTCAAATTCTGTGCCATACCACGAGCATCATCGAAAAAATCTCTCCTTTTTGTCTAGTTTTGGGCTGCGCGCGGTTTTTGTCAAAGGGTCCAAAATAACCGTATTTGTCAGCATTGTGACGTCAAAATGAGCACGGTGACCCCCACTTTTTATTACTTTTTTATCATCTTCTTGACTTGTTACATCAGTGTAGCAAGTTTCATCTACAATCTATGTTACGTTCTTTTACTAGGGAATCACCTTAAGGTAGTTAATATCCAAAACAATTTCACGGGGATGCATGCCCCCGGCCCCTTGCTAGAAGCTTACGAATTCGACGCTCGTGAGGAAAACGGTCAGTATTTATCGTAGATCCGGAAAAGGACCCAAGAGTAGAAGATTGGTTGTGGTATGGGCTGCAAGATCTTGTTAGTCAAGGGTTAGGTTGCGTTCTTCATTTTAATTCCCTTGGACAACTTTCAAGACAGCAAAACTACTGACATCAGTTGACTTTAATTTGCCACATCCGTGTCTCTGAAGAGGTTTTTTTTTTAAGTCCGAGTAGCAACGATTCAGTTTTCCAAAAAAATCTATGATGTTCTTTTAAAAATTACTCATCTCTGCATGTTCTTGTCTTAAACAGGGTGGCGAAATGAACTCCTCAACGTTAACGCGTGAAAAAGTGTCGACATAAAGCTCTCCCTCCAGCACTTTTTAGTGGAGCAAGATTTTTCAACGTAGGGAAACTAACGAAATGTACCTGTCCAGAGGCTGCGCTAAAGCTCAATTTTAACAGCTTTGATTCATTCTCTCTTTCGCCTTACCCCGGCTGGAATTTTATTTTTTGAGGGAAACGAATAAAGTTAGGGCGCGCCTAGCCTGTAAACAGACTTTGTTTTATTTTTCTTTTCTTTTTTTTCAATCCCCCACCCCCTACCTCGTTGCGCTGGCGGTCCAAAATGCGTCGAGCGCGCGTAATATAACATAAACCGCGGGAGATTTGTTAAGAAAAAGAGAAAATAGAGGGTCTGTGAACAGGCGAGGGCGCTCCTGATCCCAGGATAAAATCAACCTACTGGTCTGCAGACGGGCAAATGCATACGCCCTTGACTGGTCCCTACATGATTTATTCCTGGAGTGAAAAGCCTTTTCCAAGGTCGCTCGGCGTTAAATCTGATCGTGACTGCATAGTTCCGTCTTGATATACCTCTACACTTTCCGCTGCATAAGTCGGCATTACCCTACGTGGTTTGCTAAAAAATCTATGAGTAAAAATCAGATGTATAAGTGTGCCGATAAAGGACAACAATATGACAGATGCAGTGATGATATTCGTAATCCACCGTCTCCACTGTAGATCACTTGTTTTTGACCAAGTGAAAAACATCACAATCATGAAAATATTTTCAGCTGTGAAACACGCGTAAAAAAGACCTGAAGACATAATGGATCTGCCTAGTTTTATGTCGAACAGCTTGGAGTTTAGTTCTTTCACTTTGAATCCGAGGTAGACAAATATATAACATGGCATTAGGAGAAAGGCTATCCACCATACTTCGTTCTCGGTGAAGTATTCGTGATTTCTGTACAAGTAGATAGATATGCAAACAAATCCATGAAACGCTAGCACAGCTGAGGTAATCCACTTAAAAGCCACGAGAAAGAATACGATCGACAGCCCACGGGCAGCAACCAGGCAGGTGTTATAAAGGATGATGGTGACAAAACGCCCGATTGTTGCTTCCTTAACAAAGCTACTGTATTCGAACAACGTGAGAACCCAAACTAGGTTTAAAAAAGTGGCGGAAATAGAAAAGATCTGTAAAGCTGAGATCGTTTCATCCTGGACTACTGTAACATAAAGCTGAAGAATTATCTGAGGCATGTTTTCCAACAGTCCTTCTATGTAATGGTAAACTTTCTCCGCTCTATAATCCTGCCGGATTTGCTCATCGTCGACGACGAATCCCTCGGAGTTATAAACTTGATCATAGTTACGTAAACAAAAAAGTAGCAGCTTGATCTTTAAAATCCCCGATCCGCATGGGTTGGTAAAGAACAAAAGCCGTTTCAGCACTGTGCAAAATGTTTCTCGTCTATCTAGCCTTTGTATTAAGTAAGCCAGTGTTAGTAGAAATGATGGTAGTACTGCAAAAAGAAGGCAAAAACCGAACCAGACATAGTGTTGCTGCTGAAAGTAGATTGTAGCCGTCAATATGTCCGTTGCTACGTCGGTACAACTTAAAAGAGATCCCAAAGAGTACTTTAGCAATTCGTATCTGCCAAGTCGTACGGTGTTCTCTGACATGCATATGTCTCGTTCGAGAAGAGCAGTAGCTGTAGATGAAGGGATATCTCCCGTTACAAATCCTTTCTTGTAGCTTAGTTTCTTGCATTAACGGTGGTCCCTCTGGAAAATTGGAGACAACATTTTGGTGTAATGATCGAATATCACCATATTACGTGACTTTAGCTGTAAATATTGAACAATGCTGGTCGTCAGCTGGATAACCCTCTTCGCATATCTAGCGCCTGTTATCACGAAAATTCAAAGCACTTCATTGTCATTGTATTTCACGGAACTGTCATATCTCCAGCTTATAGACTTGTTTGATTATCAGAAAGGGAAATTATGGGAGGAAACATGTAAATTTCGCTCGAACGTCATTTGGTTGCCAAGGTAAACACTTGCACGACCTCAAAGAAGTCACGCAATCACGCAATAACAAAACTGAAAAAAATCACTGGGGGAGCTGGTGCAGAGAAAGCATTGGGACTAGGGAGGAAGAGAGGTCGCCGGAAAAAATGGCGGACGCATGAAGTCTGATGAGTAGAGCAATATCTTCGGGATAAGTGATGAAAAAGACGGTGAAATGAATTTGTCTGCATTGCATGGAGTTAAGGGTATTGGTTTCCTTCCTCAAGGGCTAAGCAACAGAAAATAGAGGATTGAAATAGCAGGATCTGGAGATTATTTGCTTCTGAGCGACAGAAATGAGCCGAAAAGAGTTTCACAAGAAAAAATATGACGAATTTGTCGAAAAGCAAGAAAACCATAGGGGAAGAAAGTTTGCTGCCTCACGAAGAAAAATGAGAGATCCATCTCATGGGAGGTCGAAAGCTTTTAAACTGAATATCGAAATGATGAATTCGGGCAGGAAGTCAAGAGAATCACTTTCTCGTATTCAGCAATCTCATGCAGAAGCAAGCAGCTCCAATTTATCATGTTTAGAGACTAAAGGCAGTTGTCCCGAAGAAACTAGTGCCAAGAAAAATGAAGAGCGAAGCTCTGTTGTTCGAGATATCCTTTTGTGTTAATTTTTTACCAGTCAGAGTGGAGGTGTATTCTGATTACACGTGTAGCATGAAAATTTTGCGGGAGTTTTATTTTGCGGATTGGCGATTTTTTGTGGTTTGCGGGAACAAATTTTTGCGGTTCGAGATGGCTGAAATTTCTGGTGGGAACTAATTTTTGCGATTGTCTTTTCAAGTAGTAATGCGTCTGGCTGCTTTATGCTGAGATTTTCACTACTCAAAGATAAATTAATTTTAAAATTTCTCTGTAGCCTCCATACATAAGCATCATGCGGGTACAAAATACAGGTCACATCTTTCCACGGGTTGGCTTACAGGACACAGGGTGTCACAAGACAAATTATTTAAAGGTCTGGCCCCAGCTGTTCAAAAGGCGGATAACACTATCCACCGGATAAATCTCGATCCACTGGATTGAGCTGTGAAGCCAGCTGTGCCTACAATTTTTAAGTCATTTGTCGATAAAGCACTGACTGGTAATCTTGATCTGTGGAATGTGACCTTAGTGCATTTGTACCTGCCAATATTTTACAAGGTACCCTGCAAGCAGTGGTTTCTCCAGGCCGGATGCGACAGGAGTGTTTTCTCTCCCTTCATAGTATTACAGTCAAACCAGGTCAAGCGTTCCTGTTGCTAACAAACTAATGCAATCATTAATGGAAAAATGATTTTGTTTGTTGATTCAATAATCCATTCATAAAATGAATAATCCAACAGTCAAATTGTACCTCGATTCAATAATCAAATGTTGATTTGGTTTATGAACAAAATCTACCTGTTCTTTATTCTTGTCTGTTGTGTTCAATCGTATTAATTTTGCTTCCCTTTTCCTGGCGTTTACGATTGCGTTTTTCATTGCCTTTAATCAAAATAACAGCTAGAATAGACAGACCGCAAATGCAAAGAAACTGACACATATCAATCACCGCACATACACTGACCTCAGTTTGACCGTCGTGTTTCTAAGAGTTCAGGCCTAGGTCTGTTGCACTGATTACTGGCAGCAAACTGGCGTAGATGTAACAGTTTGTTTGGGTTTGAACTTCAGAACTCGCCAGCACTCGACTCTCAGAAAAAGAAAAAGAGGAAAAAACAAAATTCTGAGGTCAACTTGTGGAAAGTGTAATTTTTCAAAAAACAGTAATCGAATCAACATTCGATTATGGAATTGAGGCTAAATATGACTATTGGATTGTTCGTTTTATGAATGGATTATTGAATCAACAAACGAAATCATTTTTCCGTGAATGAATTCATTAGTTCGTTAGCGAAGGGAACGCTTGACCTGGTTTGACTGTAAGTGTCCATCCTGGAGAAACTATCATGCACAGGGTATTTACAAAGCTGTGCTATAAGATAAATTGCAAGGAGCCTAGTGCTCTGAACTTATGAAATCCAATGTGCCCCCTCAATGTTTATTTAAATTCGTGCTCGTTCTGCTTTGCGCTGATTGGGTAAATCTGACAGTGCAGTTGAGGGAGAGCCACAGGGGAATTGGAGGTGGAATTCAAATTCCAGAGATGTAGTTGCAAGCTCTCCATCCTTTTTGCCGGAGTGCCTTGGAGAACTTACTTGCAGGTTACCTGCTGATATGATATTTGACCAATCAGTGGGCATGCATCTGTGTATTTTACATTCATTATGAAGGCCAGCAGTGATTGTGAACGGAGTGTACGGCATTACGTGTGCTTAAAGTACATTTCAAGGTACAATTTAAAATGGAATAACACTTTCTCCCCACAGAGTTTCGATCTAAATTTTATTGTAATTATTCCTTAACTATCATTACAAATTCCAGGGTTCTATTACGACCCAGCAAAGAAAAGATACTTCAAAATTTCCAAAGATCATCCTGTCAAGAAGTTTGTTTTATGTCAGTGTGGTGGATGGAAAGATGTCTCACGCCAAAGTAACAATAGAGTAATTCCCAGTAATATCAAGGTCAATAAAGTAAGTACATTGTTGTATTTCTGTTTAGAACTTTTTTAATCGTATTGGTGGCGTGGAATAATAGACCTAAGTGACTTGTGATGTTATATCAAATTCTCTATTGAAAAATAGAGTTTTATTATTTATTCCATTCTTTACAGTGGTAGTCACAACACTAGTTACATTCACACCCGGGGGGGTTACTCCCATATATGGGCTATATAGGTACGTGCCGCCGAATAGGGTATGGTTTTTGAGGTTCTCAGTCCTTAAATAGGGTATCTTTTTTGACCCTTTTGTTCTGTGTCCCTGGTGTGGTCCTTAGATAGGGTAGCTTGATTGTATTATCTAATACTGGAGTGTGAAAACGCCCGCCTAAACGAACGGTTTCTTTTAAACTTGATGTATCCGTTTAAGTATTCTAGTATTTTATGCTTGATGCTATACATCCAATGTTACAGAGAAGAAATAACGTTTCCTTTTCATGCTATGAATAATTTTGTTCATTCCTTGAATAGGGTGTCATTTTTTGGCTTTGGGCCTTAAAAAGGGTATCAGTTTTCGCTTTCTTAGTCCTTAAATAGGGTTAGGGTTCACAAACCTTCGCAGCACACCCCTATCCAAACTTCACGGGAGTACCCCCCCCGGGCATTCACAACACTCATTACAGTCACAGCACTAGTCACAGTCATAACACTTGTCACAGAAATAACACTTGTCCCATTCACAACACTCATCACAGTCACAACACTTGTCAGTTTATCAGAAGTCACTTGGGGCTTTTTTCGGGATGAAAAGGTTTACAATAAAGAATTTTGTGGTTGTCATGTGATTTCAGAGACCAGCAAAGATGTCCATTGTTAAGCACCTTCAACAGAGGCAGTATGTCTGTNATTGTATTATCTAATACTGGAGTGTGAAAACGCCCGCCTAAACGAACGGTTTCTTTTAAACTTGATGTATCCGTTTAAGTATTCTAGTATTTTATGCTTGATGCTATACATCCAATGTTACAGAGAAGAAATAACGTTTCCTTTTCATGCTATGAATAATTTTGTTCATTCCTTGAATAGGGTGTCATTTTTTGGCTTTGGGCCTTAAAAAGGGTATCAGTTTTCGCTTTCTTAGTCCTTAAATAGGGTTAGGGTTCACAAACCTTCGCAGCACACCCCTATCCAAACTTCATGGGAGTACCCCCCCCGGGCATTCACAACACTCATTACAGTCACAGCACTAGTCACAGTCATAACACTTGTCACAGAAATAACACTTGTCCCATTCACAACACTCATCACAGTCACAACACTTGTCAGTTTATCAGAAGTCACTTGGGGCTTTTTTCGGGATGAAAAGGTTTACAATAAAGAATTTTGTGGTTGTCATGTGATTTCAGAGACCAGCAAAGATGTCCATTGTTAAGCACCTTCAACAGAGGCAGTATGTCTGTTCATCTCAAGCCCCACAAAGGTAACTTACTGTCTTCTTTGACCAAGAATAAAGTTAGCCAAGGGTGATCTGTTCTCTGATGTTGGTAAACAAGAAATTTGTTGTGAACTATCGACAAAGCTAAAAATATATATTTTAAAAAAGAAAAAAAATTTTTAGCCTGCAAATAGTTCACTTTTTAACCTTAAGAGAATTTTATGGACAAGAAATTTCTTAGTTCTAAAGAATGTTTTTTTGCACATGACTGAAGAGAAGGTAGTACATCATAACCCAACCCCCCCTCCCATCTACTGTTCTGTAACCATAAAACACAAAGGACAGGTGGGGGGAGGGCAGGATGCAAAAAATGTGCTGTTCAACAGCCCAGGGCTGGTGGAGCGACCCATGTTTTTATTTTGAGTTATCCAATGAGCAAACAATATTTGCAGAGAAAACGTAGTAACTGGGCTAGTAAATTATTTTGTAAACTCGACTTGCAGCCACTTTTGTTAGTGAAAGAGTTGACTGTGTATGATTTATTCATCTTTCTTCAGAAATATGTTACAAAAGCTCATTCGTCTCTTGAAAGTGAAGCAGAGGTTAAGCTTAGACCCTCTCTCTGGAAATGACATTCCAGCAGATAGATATGCCGTGTTCAGAATAGAGGTGAGTGCCATGCTGTACATTTTTTTTAATATTCAGGCATTCAAATACCGGGTGTGACAAATGCTGGTAAATAAGGTTATTTCTCAATAGCATTTGCAATATTTTGTATGGATTGCAATGATTGGATGCAGTATTTTGTGATTAGTCTTTTGGAATAACACCGTATTACAAATCTCATAAGCCACATAAACATGTCATGAATGGTAAGCTGTTTGTTTGTTTATTATTTATTTATTTCAACATTTCAACACTGGAAATGGAATTTTGCATAGTGCTCTACCTGCAATTTTAGTAGATAAATAACTCAAATAAATAAATGAATTTTATTTGAATGAATAAATTACGGAATATAGAATGAAGATGATGTGAACTGTGCAAATAAAAAATTAAATGAAGATATGATTGTTGCAGTGGTAACTGTAATTTAAGCAATTGCAAATTAACCCTAAAAAATTTCAGGACTTCAACAGGATTTGAACCCATGGTCTAGCACTGCAGTGCTCTACCAACTGAGATATGTTTTGGCATTAATTTGCAATTGCTTAAATTGGAATTTCCACTGCAACAATCATATCTTTATTTAAATTACTAAATAGTTAAAAAAAAATAGTAGAGTTGTTTTTATCAAGTAAGTAAGAATTTAATTTAAATATTATTAAATGTAAATCTAGCATGCATGATAAGGTGAGGCTGAAGAAGACTCACCTACATTGTGCACGCTCTGTACAGTACAGTTCATCCCTGATTGGGGTATATCACAGAAAAGCAACAACATTTCCAGATCACTATTGCAGGTAAGGGTGACTGAGTTTCAACAATTCCCTGATGAACATGTCCACTGTGAAACCTTCAGTTAAGCTCAGTCTCCCTTAGGAAATGGCCAAGTGAGTTTGACTGTATTATCTTCTATTTTTTGAACAGCCAGATGTAAATCATAAAAGGCTTCTAACATTATATGAGACTGTATCACCTGGTAACCAAATGTAAGTTTTTCCAAATATTAAAAAATAATAGACTTTTTAGTAGACTAATTTCTTGTGGACTAAAGGATCATGTAAAACAAACTTGTGAAAATATTAGAATGCATAGTTATACATAAAGCTCTTTTTACTGTCTCATGGCTCTTATTACCATTGTCAACATCACCCCATCACTTTCATATGAAATTACTGGTAAAGGTAGGTAAAGGCACACATGAGCCAAAGGTCCAAACCGCCAGAGTTCATCCTGATTTCCTTAGCATGAAACATTTTTAGAAGTATTACTTCTCCTCCCTGGGCAGATGCTAGTCCATCGAAGGGTTACCCCTCAGCAGTACATGTATGTTGTTGATACCCATTTATAAACTTGGGTGAAGAGAGTCAAAGTGAAGCAAAGTTCCCTGTGTAAGGAAACAACGCAATGGGTGAGGCTTGAACCCCGGACCTCCAGATCCGGAGTTCAAGGTGTTAACCGCTCAGTGACACATGCCTCCACTATGAAATTACTGATGTGGCCAATAGTTGAAGAGTTGCTTTGTCCTGCTTTCTTGCTCCCCCCCATAGTTTTTACGTTTTGTAAATAGAGAAGCAAAATCATAATATTCACCAACACATTATCATAATCATCATCATTTGTCATTATTATTATTTTTATCATTGTTATTGTTGTTGCTAACATCATCATCATCATCATCATCATCATTGTTATCATCATCATCATCATCATCATTAAATTAAAATTAATTGTAATAATGATCATTGCCATTATCATTGTAATCAAGGCTGCTGCCTAACGGGCGCCCGGTCGCCAGAGGCGCCCAAGGTAAGAGCATGGGCGACCAAATTTCGGTACAAGGAGCCCGCGCGGGCGCCTGACTTAACACACGGCATTAGACTTAACCTCCTTGTACATTATATTCCTTTAGCTGGAGTAGGACTTTAAACAGTGGAACTGTTGATATGGTTAGCGATGATGCGATTAGGCAGTATAAAATTTCCACAAATAAACCGTAAATTATGTAAACCTAACGTGTTCAACTGTGAAGCTTTGTCGAAACGAACGAAGCCATCGTTTCCGAGTCCGGATGGCAGTTGAAGACTGGGTCTGAGATTTGACTTCCAAATATGGAATAGCAAAATTATGGGCTGTTTGTTGCCTATGTTGACATTCGTGCAGTTCATCGTTTGCTTGGGTTTTCGTCGATTTGATAACTTTTTTGTGGCGAGAATGGGAAGCTATCTTGCGTGCTATCGACTGGACGTGCTTGATGTTCGATTTCATGTACCAGTTTGCAACGTATGAAAGTAAATAATTCGGTTAATTCTTGTTTACGTGTTATTTATTAGGCCCGGCGAATTCTTATTAAAGTGTGCAAGAACCTCTATAACCTATGTAATGATCTTGGAAAAACAATACATGGATTTCAAACTGGGCTCCTAACAATGTGGCTCGGGCTCCTAACTTTAAACTTTAGGAGCCCGAAGGGCTCCCTAAAATTTTTCTTAGGCAGCAGCCTTGATTGTAATCATCACCATCATTGTTGTCGTCATTGTCATATTAAAAAGTGGACATTATCAGTGCTACTGTCAGAACAGATGCTTATTGTGGAATTTTTTTTGTGTACGTGTTTTAGAGCCCAATTTCATAATTTATCAAATGATAGAAAGAATAATCTTGAGATTGTGCATCACATGGCCATGATAAAGAATCAGGTGGGAATTTCTCTTACTCTTTTTTTTGTCGTGGACACCTTTTTGTTTTTCTGTTACTTTTGCTCATTTTATTCTCCTTTTTAACGATGTTGTAGAAAATCATTTGTAAAGTTTTTATACAAATACTGAACCTGTCCTGCTTTCTATCATTCTAGAAAATAACGGGTCTATTGTGGAGTCCCCACGAGTCTTCAAAAAATCTCTACTTGTATCCTTAGTTTATAAAAATATACAACTATAATTTCAAAATAAAATAAATAATATTTACTCTTATTGACAGAGTCTTGCTAACTGATTCTAAGTTTTGTGCCCGTGTGTACTTTAAGGTTAAAAGCTTAAAAGCTGGGCTACCTGTGATCCTACCACCACATTTACTACATTAAACACCGCGGCGTTTATTAAATTTTCTGCGTTTTTAATGCGGCGTTCATTCAATGGCGTTTATAATCACATTTCGTAAATCACTGAAAACGGTAAATAATTTGTAAATATTACGTGTAACAAAAAGATGTTGTGGTTCCGTTGTCTCTCGTTGAATCGTAAATGTCTGGATAGTGTAGATTACCAAATTGTTCCGAGTTTCCGCATTCTTTCGATTGGGTGCGGCGTTATTCGGGGGAGGCGTTTATTGGTAATTTTGTGTCCATCTGCGGCGTTTGATTTAGTAAATACGGTAAACAAAACGAAAACAAGGCCCATTAAATACATTATACCAGTATATTTAGACTGCAAAACAGTCCGTATTTTTGCGTATTCAAGTACGCGCGAGCAGTCAAACAAAAGGTCTGGAACGAGGCTGAAAACAGAGGGGTGGGGGGGGGGAGGGGGACTTGCGCGCTTTGCACACGTAAGACTGTTACGCCACGCTTTACCGATTTCTTTACTGATTTTGAGAAAAAACCGACTGTTTTGCAGTCTATAGTATATTAGGACACACATGGTTCCTTAACGATTCCTTCCAGAATATCTCTACTTGGACACGGTATCATGTCTGGAGAGACCATGATTTTTCAAGTCGATGGTGCTGTACAACGTAAATGTCAATGTTTTCAATATGTTAAGATGAGTGTTAAGAATAAGGCGTGAATCTGCCATCATTGCGTGATAATAGTTGTTGTCGTTAATATTACTAGAAGCGATGTTTTACCACATTTGGCTGTAAAAAGAAAACAAAAGATATAAGAAGAAAATAGTGTAGGGATGTTCTATAAATACAAGAAAGACCACTAGATTTTTTTTCTTGTAGAACATTTTTACGCTATTTTCTTTTGATACGTCGTCATATTTTTTTAACCTTTTTTCAAAAGTTTTTAAAATGCTAAGCAAAATTTTACCACAGTGTTTTATGGCCATATCGATAAAATGACACGGTAATAGTTAACCACAGCGAGCAAATAAGTAAACGCTTTTGATGTCAATTATATGTTAATCTCTTTGTCTCTTTAGTCGAACAACATATTTTGGCCGGTAAATGCCACTCGACTGTGTTAGTGAAAAAGGAGTGGCTAATTAATCTAACCTCATTGCAGACTTTTACCATTCTCTTTGCCGAGGAACCTTAAGCAACCACGACGACGACAACAACAACAACTTCAAAAAAACAATAGGTTTAATGATCAAAACAACAACTCTGCACGTGCGTCACGCTTTTTAGTACATTTCTTTGACGTCCACTGCACGACTACGACGTGAAACCTCCTAATTTGCCTTTTTATGGAGGGTGTGAACATACCACTACGAATTTTTCTTCCTCTCTTTGAACCTGAATAAAATCCCTAACGAATTTAACTCCAGGAAAAGTCGCCTGCATTTGACATATTGCGCGGGGCCAAATAGACGCGATTAAATTTGAAAGAACGCAAATTCATTTTTTTACCGACGTTTTCATTGCCGTCGTCATCGTCCTTGCTTAAGATCCCTAGTTTTCTACTGTAACGTGACTTCAAGAGAGTAACTCGTTCAACTTTGCTTTCCCGTCTTTTAGTCTGCTGACTCCAGAGTTAGTATGGGTGATGACATAATTCCTCGTAAAATGAAGGATTAATATCGCTTGTGTTTTCAGAAGTTGCAGAAATTGTCCGAGTCGCGCAGAGACGAGAGCAATTTCTGATAAAGAGGGCAAGATTTATTTTATTTCTTAAAGCGCGCGTTCTTACCTAATTTCTTAGGAAACCATATGTGTTTATTTTGGATCGATGAACCGTAAAAGCGCGAATGAGGTGATATTTTTTTGCGACACAAATGATTTCGCCTGCCAGCCGTTGCAAGGTAATTTTGCCTTCCGTGGAGCGAAAATTAACAAAAAATGCTCTCTGTCTTGACCAATCAGCATGCATTCACTAATTTTGCCCTCTCTGTTATAAACGTGTTTTAAAACACATCTCTACTTTAGGTATAGTTGGAAGAAATACTGTTCATGGAAATTCAGTGTGGACCAATGCCTGGAGTAGAAATCCTCTGTTCAGTCATATAATTAGTATCGGTAAGTGGTTTTCATTAAATGGGCCGCTTTGTCACGGCAGTCCAGTACACTTTTCAAGTTACTCGTTCGAGTTCAAGTTTATTTCTTTGCCACATTTCAAAACTATAAAATTCTCAATATAAAAAGCTAATAGCGAGGAAGCCCAAGGGAAGCCACTGGTCTTAAAAGTAATAGGCTTCCTCAATTAATTATTATAAACAAGTTAACAGAAGTGTAACAATTAAGTCAAATCAATGACGGAGCTACTTTACAGTAAACATTATAATATATGTATTACAGTATAGTTAGGCTAAAATGCAAGGCGAAAAGGGAAAAAAACTCCATACTCTGTAGTATGGAATTAAGCGACAACATTACTTGTAAATGACAAGATTTCAGTTTCGTAAGAAACATACATGTATCCCGTGCTTTATAAGTTAGACCCAACAGAGAGAGATTTTTGAGAACTGTTGGGCTGAACAGTTTTCAAAAACCCAAATTGCAATCCTTTTTACTCTCAGTTTTCAGTTTTTCCCCTCCGTGTTTTCTTTTGTATATGCATAATCAATCATTTGTCTTATTCGAATCTTCCGTTAATGTCTTAAGCGTTCAATTTCATTTTGTTCATGTTATGGACATTACTTTGTGCCTGAATTAGTTTAAATTTCGAGATTCATTTCTATTAATGAATTCTCCATACACTGCAATTCAGTGGCGGGCTAGCTTGCTCAGTCAGTATGAATTACGACTGATTACGAGTGGACTGCGGACTACGGACCAGGTGGGTGTAAAACGAGGAATGTCCGAGTATTAGGCACGGAATACGGACTACGGACTAGGTATAACCGTGTGAAACGCTGAGTACAGAAAGTGTATTCAACGCCAGACCAGTGATTAAAATAAAAACAGAGATTTGCAGATTGTGGGCTAGTGTAGAAAACGAAATGCGCACGGAGCGCCCCTCTTTTGTTCTTCTCGTAAATTGCTTTTCTTTTTAGGAGCAAGCAAGGTCGCCCTCACTTTGGACGTGAATACAAGGCGCCGTGTAATACATGTGAGATGTGACAGTGATGTGTTTGCACAGGAGTTCTCGCGGAAAGTAAGAACTATTCAAACCGTAACTATAAGATTTAAGTTGTTTAAGATGGGTTCTAAAGTTTTTAAGGGGCTGCTTGTAGGAAATTTGTGTCTTAAGTGTTTCAAATCGCGATCAAATACGTGTTCGTTTGTTTTTTTGTTAATGAACCCGAGAAAATAGAAAGTCTATTTCATAACTTGACATAGAAGAATATTTCATAACTTGAAATAGAAGAAGATTGCAGTCATTACATATAATTTAAGTCTGAATTTTGTATCATTTATCAAAATGGCATTACTAATTGAAATAGTAGTTGGATTTGTATAATGATTATAGATTTAGTCAGGTAAATGATTTTTTATCGTGAATAATGACTTTTTGCGCCCTTTGTGAAGGCTGCAAGTAAGCAATTCCCCCCAAAGTTCATTTCCTCATTATCATATGGATGGGTTGGCGACAAACTAAGCATGCGCTTTTTCCCCAGAATCCAGTCCTCTACAATGGATCACGTGACGGATATATACGCACGTGTGATGTTCGTTTGTCGGGTTCCAATTGGCCCGTCATGTGTCTAAGCCAAGGAAAGATGGCGTCTGTCACGTGCTTGCGCGAACTACACGACGAAAACTATCTGCTTTCTAGTGGATTGAACGGATCGGTAAGGCCTTGTATTGATAGAAAAAAGATTAGGAAAAGAATCCGACCCATTTTTTCGGACACAGAGGGGACCCATTGTCCTCATTGGTGGTACTGTAACGTCTGTATTAGCATTTTTACCCTTCTGTGAGAATCGTTTGACTGGACAAGAAAGGAAGTGTCTGTTGTCCGCATTGACAGGCGTCTGTGTTCAGCAGCTTTGAATTTCGAGGCAATTTAAGGCCCTTCCCCAGGGACGAGGTAAGGGCTTTTCAGTACAACGGAGTTCAACTGTATTTTATACGTATATTTTCTTGTGCAATTATTGTTAAAAATGGGAATTGTATTTAAGCATTGCAAAGCAAATCACTTTGTTATTGTCTTTGTATGTTTGGATTTAGACTTCTCTTTCTATTTCACGTAGTGTCGTTTAAGATTTGGTCATTTTATGTGCTTCAACTTAACCTCTGTTGTGCGTGTTTTTTTTTTGTCATTAGCTAAAACTGTGGGACGTTAGGATGACGGCCTGTGTGCAGAATTATACAGGGCATGTAAACGAGATTACACACGGTCTTCCTTTCTACCTCGACGCTAGCGATTCTCTCATCTTTGCGGGTAAGTTTTTAGGTTTTTTAAAGCCTTTACAATTATTATCATGGAACGCACTCTGGCTGTCATGCTAAGGAAATAAAATGAGCAATTTGTTTAGGTAATAGCATGATTAGTATTGATATTTGGCATAAATACCACGAGAGATATTTCAAAATTGTTATACGTAATTTCACGAGCCGTTAGGCGAGTGAAATTTGAAACAATCTTGAAATATCACGAGTGGTATTTATGCCAAATATCACGTACAAATCATGCTATTATATGTTAATACTACTACCCGCAAAAGATTTGTAATTTTCACATGTAGGTATTTCAAATTAAGCTGAAATACCACTACTCTAAGCCAATCAAATTGCAGTAATTTCTCATGTAGTAGTATAACAGGTGAAAGAAAAGGATCAAGTTAATGCCTGTAAGGGCTACATTTGAGACTGCGTTCGGGCGATTGGATGATGACGTCGTTTTACTACAACCACCAGAATTCTCCAGTTTGTTGTTTTCTTGTGTAAATTTGGGCTATTGTTTTTTAAACCTCAGCAGGATTGACAAATTTAAATAAGAAAGCAAAAACGAAATGAGTTGTGGTAGTTGTAGCCAGATGTCTTCTTCGTGAAAATGGCCCATTCTTACGAGCTCGGAGTTCGAAGAAGCACCACACAAACAAATCAAAAATTCAACGCCGCGTAAACACGATTTTTTTTTATGACTATTGCTGCGTCATTGAGAAGACAATCAAGAAAAATCCACATTTACTAATTTAAAAGTCGAGCGTTTTTTAAAGGAACCTTAACACTGTTCTTTTCTTTTTCAGCTGGACAAGATTCAGTGACCCGTATATGGAGTGTGTCAAGCGGTGAACTGCTTCACTCAATACCATTTCCCAACGATGTGGACAAGTCACTGAGTTCCATTCCCGCTCTTTACTATTCAGAGGAATGGGGCGGGAAGGGGGGCATGCCGGGATTGCTCTATGGGGCTGGTGACTCCATTTATGTTTACTCTTACTGAAATTGTAAAAAAAAAAAGAACTTTCAGGAGACGCGAGTCACTAAATAAACACTTGCCTTTATTTGGCTTCAACGGTAGAGGCACTTCTCGTCATTGTGTGAATTTCTTAGACCCCGTAAGTGTTTTCTTGTTAAGTAAAACGCAGACCTTTTGGGCTTTTTGACCTTGAATCGACTGAAACGGTGAAACTGAAACGGATGTATTAGAAAACAGAAGTTTTGGAAAACACTCTCGAACTGAAACTGGACGCTTTCGTAAGAGGAAGTCTCAGTATCGTTTTATTGTCCGTGGGAAAAAGCGGGACATTCTCAAACGAAGCTATGTCGTATCATGAAAGTCTTAGAACAGTCTGGGGCACACATTTGTAACAGCAACAACAACATCACCAAACGAAAGTTTCTGCGAAGACATTTAGTGTGGACGGGGTGCAGTAATCTCTTGTGGCGTAATATACCAGTGGCCACGTAAGCCATCGGCGACAAAAAATCGAATCGTGGGTTGTTGGCATCAGAGTAAATAAAACTGCTCTGTAAAATTCTTGATTAAGCCGTTTATTTGTTCAGAGACTTGCCTGATCAGTGAAAAGTGGAAAGTAAAATTAAAAAATGTCCACTCTCTACTACCCTTACTGAAGACAGGACCACAGCTACGTGCAAATTGACGCAACAACTCCCATGCAACATTTTTGGGTGAACAATGCGGACAAAATGGCATGGCATGAGTGCGGAATAGCATAATTATGCTGAATGTAATATATGCAGAATGATTCAAAGAATTAAATTCAACTGTAAAGCGCGCGCGGCAGTGGGCACAGCCGCCCAGAAAAATGGCGCATGTTCCACCAGCTTGAAGACGCCCATTTTTTAGTTTCTATTTCAACTTGTCGTTGCTTAAGCTCCCTATAGTCGCATTGAGGACCACTTCAAACGAAGGATGACGAAAATGCCAGAGCAAGGTGCGACAGATTGTCGGTTTAATGTAGGAAAGGACACAACTGTGGTTTCAGTCTTTCGAAATTTAATTTGTAACTGAGGTTAAGAAACACCTTGAGAAACTAGGTTTTTTTTATTTTGTTTGGTAAATAGAGGTTCGCTATTAGAAAACTAATTACCACCATAATAGGTGTTTGCAGCTACGATATCGAAATTGTTCGATCACACGTCTCCTCCGTAGCGTAATGATTTAAAAGTGGAGAGTAACCTATCGGAAAGGTGTTCATACTTTTCCGGCTATCCTTTCTGAGTGTGAACATAGCCTAATTGAAAAACGGTGCAAAACACGTTTAATATGCGTTGTGTGTGTGTAATTGCATAGTTAATACTGTGCTTATAGTCAAGAGTTCGTGTAAGCCAAGTGTCTTTCTTGTTTTAGTGAAAAATCACCTTCTTCGGACTATAAGACGGAGAAATTCTTTTCGGTCTCGGCAACCCAGGCAGAACCTAGCATTTACATTCATTTTTTCGAGTGATTGTTACAGAGAGAAAAGGCGATAATTCATAGTTCTATAGGTCCATTTCGACGCCGGTTAGATCTAAGCATCTGGTTAATACAAAAGTGCTGAATGCAACTTAACAATCTCAATTTGTAAAAGAAAAACAAAATGTGTTTAAGTGCAACTGTTGTTTTGCTGAAGGACAACAGTACTAATGATCAAACATTTCTATGTAGGGAGAACCCACCCTGGCGGTTTGTTCTTTGTGTTTTCACTAAATATCACGGCAATGGTAACAGGAACTGTGTATGGAACATGACTCGTTTGTTGTTATTGTACCAGTTGTCTTAAGTAGACTTTCATATAAGCTTTGCGAGAGGAGTGTGCTCTAAGACTGAGTGCAACCGCTTAGACTCAGTATTCCGAAGAAAATTCCTTTAATAGGTGTGTGGCTTAAGGAACAAGCCGGTCATGATAATCGATGTGTACCCTACCACCTTATCAATAATTTGTACGTGACTCTCAAACCACCACATTGAACAAAAGCCAGGATCAGTGACTATTGTGTCGTTTGTTTTTGTCTAGATAGGCAAGTTTTGCATGGAAACTAAACTGCGGGACAATTCTCGCGCGCTCACAATATATGTATCGTGTACCTATGCATTTATTTGACTTTCAATGTAGTAGCTGCATGGAATATGTCTTAACTTACGACCGAGCCGTTGATTCAAAGTGGGTGGGTCGAAAATAATATATTGCTGTTCATTCCTAAGGGCGTGCAATCAATGAGTCAATTCCTAAAAAGGCTGAGATTTCTTTATTATCCGTTGTAGCAAGGTTGACATGCGAATTTTGGTGCAACATTGCTTGACATGTCTTTGCAGAGTTCGAATCAGATCAGACTGTATATAGGCCAAGAAAATGATTTAATCGGACCATGAACTGATAACATACAGTACTGATTTGTTCAGGGCACTAAAATTACAGAGTAAAATGCGGGCTTTAAAAAGAAGAATAATCAGCAAACTCAATGTATTTATTTTGATATTTTTATCGCTTCCATCACATGGAATAGTTTGTTTTAAAATAATGAAATATTCACAGATTTACATGAATGTGAAAAGGGAATCTATAGAGAGAAGCAAGGAATCTGGTAATTTGCGAAACGAACGAAAAGGGAATCTAATATGTAGAGAACTGACGCAACGGAGGTACAGTTAGTTGAGAAGCAAATATTGCTTTCTTTTCAATCAACCGGTTATACTTCGTTGACTTTGGAGAAAAGGTCCTTTAAGGTTTATGTTTAGAAGATTTTACTTCTTTTTCATCATTCGTCACGGCGTATTTAACCGTCTGTCCGAAATGAATGCCAATCACTTACCAACAAAAAAAATAAAGCAATCATGGGGGGCATCTTCTTCATTTTTTCGGCTTAACAATTTCATCTAGCTGAAGTGGAATGAATCTTAGAAGTCAGAAACACTGTAATGACTGTTCAAAGTTGTCAATTCCATTAATTGACACAGTGCAAAGAAGCTAAGATTAATGGCCTATTACAACTGCTGACCGTTGGGATTTTGTTGTACCACTGTCGACACGCACCGAATTTTAAAAGCAGACTAATGAAGTTGGTCAGGATTGTAAGCTTAATTAGAGCAAAATCAGTCAAATTATGAAAAAGGACTGTTATGGCCATTTTTATTCAATGACCTGTTTTACTTCGATAGTTATTGTAAAAAGTTCCTTTCAAGATTCATACAGTGCCGATTTGATGATTTCCCTAGGGACGAACACAGATAAGAACGTTTCTAATGGTCCGTCCCTTATTTGGTCTTGGCGTCTGCTCGTTAATCTGAAGTGTCAATCAATGCAATTTCCAAGTATTAGGACCACTGACGAACAGTTGCGTCCTCAGTTATCATTTAGTCAGTCATACTTCTTGTCTTATTACCACTGTAAAGTTAACCAAAGGTAAGTCTCCTTTTTCAGTAGTTGCCCAACAGTTCAAAGATCGTTCTGACTTTTCGCTGCGAGATAACTTTCACTGGATATACTATAATAATGTATTCTAAAGCCCTGAATAGAAAAATAACTGTAAATTTCAACGGTACTTTGCTGCAGCCTTGTCAGCTAGTTCGCTCACGGGGGAGCGTTTATTTAGTAGTACAGTGGTTACAAATCATGGAAATTTCACCGAAGCTGAATTTACTTTGATCAAATGAGAAATTTTTTTTCTGGGGAGTACTTTGATGCTTACATTGAATGGTTAATTATTCGGGTTCACAGCCGTTCCATCAGGCATTTTTATGGGCTGTTTAATTCCGCCCACGTACTTTGGACAAACGTTGTTTTGCGACCTATTAGCAAATATCAGGGCGGTGAGGGTCAAATGCAGAATAAGCTTGAGGAATGGCATGTGGCATGGAATGACTTGCGGGAATAGCATAATTATGCTGAATGTAATTTATGCCGAATGATTCAAAGAATTAAATTCAACTGAAAAGCGCGCGCGGCTATTCTAAGCACAGCCGGTCAGAGAATGGCGCCAAATAGTACCACCAGCTTGTAGACGCCCATTTTTAGTTTCTATTTCAAATTTTTCAACTCTCTTCCATTCTATTTTTATTATCTCACCGCGCTCTCAAAACGAGAACGCAAGGATGAGGTCGGTCGTCGGCTTGTTGGGTCGACCTATAGTCACATTGAGGACCACTTCGAACGAGGGATGACGAAAATGCCAGAGCAAGGGTGTGACAGATTGTCGGTTTAATGTAGGAAACGTCACAATTGTCTGAAATGTGGTTTCAGTCTTTCGCAATTTAAGTTTTAACTGAGGTTAGGAAACACCTTGAGAAACTAGGTTTTTTATTTTGATTGGTAAACAGAGGTTCGCTGTTAGAAAACTGATTACCCCGGCGGGCGGATCCAGGATTTTTTATAGGAGGGGGTGCACTCGTCTCTTGCTCTACTTCAGTACCAATAAACCACATAATTTTTTTTTTGCAGAATACCAGTTGTATTAGAAAACCGCAGGTCATCTCGGGGGGGGGGGGGGGGCGCACCCCCCCCAAGTTCAATCGTTGCGTAAACACGATTCCTTTTGATAACTATTGCTGCGTCATTGAGAAGACAATCAAGAAAACTGAGAGAGATCCACATTTACTAATTTAAAAGTTGAGCGTTTTTTAAAGGAATCTTAACACTGTTCTTTTCTTTTTCAGCTGGACAAGATTCAGTGACCCGTATATGGAGTGTGTCAAGCGGTGAACTGCTTCACTCAATACCATTTCCCAACGATGTGGACAAGTCACTGAGTTCTATTCCAGCTCTTTACTATTCAGAGGAATGGGGCGGGAAGGGGGGCATGCCGGGATTGCTGTATGGGGCTGGTGACTCCATTTTTGTTTACTCTTACTGAAATTGTACAAAAAAAAAAAAAAACTTTCAGGATACACGAGTCACTAAATAAACACTTGCCTTTATTTGGCTTCAACGGTAGAGGCACTTCACATCATTGTGTGAGTTTCTGAGACCCCGTAAGTGTTTTCTTGTTAACTAAAACGCATAC